GAATTTCCCGGGGACAAGCAGTGAAGTCCCTGGAGACATTAGATAGTTTTCTCGAACTTCTTGGGGACAAGCAGTGAAGTTCCCATGGGACGTTGGATAGTTTTTCATGAGCTTCCCAGGGACAAGTGCTGGAAGTCTCGGGGGCCCACTCTCGTCTGCTGAGGCGGGAGAGGCCCTATTCGTAGAGGGTCTCCCCTCTTTGCCATTTCACTTGATCTGCGGTGGAAGGGTGGATTTGATCTTGAATGTCGAATTCACCGATTTCCTCTACTTTTTAGGTGTAAATGGCTGCTTGGGTACATGGAGTTATTGAAACTGACGACGAGATAGACTCCCCTATGGCACATGCCGGCGAAGAGGGAAGAAGGTCTGCTGTGGATTGGGCCGGGGAAGAGCCCCTGATTGTTTCTTCTCGCTTTGTTGTGGATGAGTCTGACACTTATGCTAATGTCGAGGACCACCTTGAGGGTTCCCTTGTGAATTGGCAGGTGTACAAACCACGAGCCTCTGAGTGTCTCTTCTCGCTTTGATGTGGATGAGTCTGACGCTTATGCTAAATGTCGAGAACCTCCTTGAGGGTTCCCTCGTGAACTGGTAGGTGTACAAACCGCGAGCAAACCACTCAATATACTCGGTGTATAAGGGGATGAGGTTCCCCGTGTATGAGTTTACCTTTCAGGAGGTGGGATTGCGTCCGCCCTTCACCGACTTCCAGCTAGGAGTTTTTGACTGGCTTCGGTTGTCGCCCTCGCAACTACATCCCAATGCAACTGCGTTTGTGCAGGCGTACGAGCTCGTCTATCAACATCTTAACATCGGGGCCACTCTCACCCTTTTCTTTTGTATCTTCCACCTTCAAAGATAAACGCTCGATGGCCGATACAACTGGGTGTGCTTGAAGCAACCGAGGAGGCTCTTCTGGGCGTACATGGATTCCATCCGAACTTTCAAAGACCGGTATTGCATTGTTAAACCCGTCACTCATACAGCCGTGGACTCACTTTTCAAACTCGAGGTCTGGGAAAGGGACGGGAAGTCCGAGGAGGTCTTAGTGCCGAAGATTCTGCTGATTTGGACGGAGGAACACTTTGACAAAGGCACAAATATTACATAGTGCGGGTAGGCTCGTTGGATGCCGACGACCGGGTGGCTTACCAGAAGCTAGTCGCTTTTGTGGCTAGTTTTACCCTTGCAAAGTGCGTGATGCTGAACGAGAACTTTATCCTTGACTCCCACGGGGAGATTCTTAAGGAGTCACGATTGATCAATACGTGGGCCCTCCTCGAGTGCATTTCTGTTGCACCCTAAAATTTGTCCACCGGTTTTCCGATTTTGACTGGCTTTTGCTTCGTTTTCATCTGCATATCATTTAGGTTGGATTTTTGCCCGTGTTATCGGCCGGATCGAATTTATCAGGATCTTAGTCGCATTGCTCGCGTTTCAGGCGATTCTAATTAATTCAAACAAAAAGTTCAGCGTCGAAATCGAGCGAAAAGTCACTCTCCTCTTGATAATTCAATCTCTGTTGATAATATCGGCGCATTTCGGTGCCCGCCCGTTTTTCCATGACATTTTTCATTTTTATTGCTATTTTTGCTTTATTTAATTATTTAGAACCGTTTTTAATTATAATATTTTTCTTTTAATTTTTTTTTGTTTAGAATATTTGTTTTAAAACTTTATTTAAGAAATAGTTTAAATAGGATTTTTAATATTATTTTTTTAAATGGTTAGAATTGTTTTTTTTTATTTAGAATTTTATAACATAGGTTTTATTTGTTAGATTATTAATTAGTTTTAGAGATTTAAATAGATTTATTATTAGTTTTTATAAAATATTTTTATTAGTTGTTTTTTAATAATAGGTTTGTTAACTAGGATTATTATTTTTATTATTAGTTTCATTTAATTAGATTAAATTAATATTAGTTTTAGATTTATTTTTATTAATTAAAGTTTTGTTTAAAATCTCATCATATAATTCCATTTCTTTTTACTAAAAATTGTTTAATAAATTATTTTTTCATTTAAAAAAATGTATGATTTCTTGTTCTTAATTTTATTCTCATAATTCTCTCTTTTTGAGCTTCAATTAACAACATTTCTTATTCATTTGTTTTATTTTATTACATTAAAATTGCTTTTTTAGTGTCAAATTCAGTCACTACTTATATACTTTTCAATCTTTGTTTCATCTTAAGTAAAATTATCAACAACATAATTATTAAAGCTTTTAATTTGTGTCACCACTCACCACCAACTAACTCCAATATATTTTGATCTTTAAATAATAAACGTGCATGAAACATTAATTTATAAAATAAATGGCGAATTCTTAAGGATTCTACTAGTACAATTTGGTTGTTGAGGGGTAAAGACTATGAAGTCCTTGGTTGGTGAGGTTTTTCTTTTTATTTTATTCACTAACTTTTTGGTTGGTGAAGTATGAATTGTTTATTACCTCACCTGAGGGAAAGTAAAGTACTAAATTTTCTTTGATTTTTCAGAACTAGGAAGTTTGGTAAGTAGTAATTTTTAGACTTTCTTAGTTTATATTCTCTATGAGTTTAATTAACAGGCATACCATCGATGTATCATAAACCTTTCAATTCTATTATTTTAGAAAATGTTAAAATAAAAATATTTTAAATTATTTTCATGATGTTGTGGTAGAAAACTTGGCCCCAAACATTTTAGACCATACAACTGTGAAGATCAACAGACATGAACAACACACAAGGAGGAAAACTATATTTAAATTCCTGAATTGTTTGACTCAGTATCCTTCCTTTTTTCAAATTGTGGAGGATAGTTGGCAAATGGAGGTGCATGGTAGACCTATGCAGAGCCTTTGGACCAAACTGAAACGACTTTAACCTAAACTTAAGCAAATGACCAAAATGTATACGGATATTCAGACTCAAATAACCCAAGCCAGGCAACAACTGCACCAATCCCAAGAGAGACTGCATCAGGATTTATTCAAGAAAAATGCTATTTCTACACCCTTTTTTACACCCAATACTTACACCGTATGCACTATTCACCGTATTTATACGGTGAACAGTGTTTTTTTTATTAAAATAATATATTTTTTTTTAAAAAAAATATTTATTTTTAAAAATTTTTTTATAACACAAATATAAGATTGCGCATTAACCAACTTCACAGTTGCATTAACCACAAAAATCTACATTATTAGCCAATTATTTTACCTATAATTTATTAACCACTTTCACTACTTCATTAACCAATAAAATACACACTATTAACCATGTTCTGGGAAATTTGTTCAAGTATTTGTGAACAGTAATTGAGGTGTAAGGTGTAGAGATGGGTGTCAACATAACAATGTTGTTTATTCAATAAGCATGTTAAAGTTTCCATAGAGAAGATCATTCACTTGAATCAAATAGAAGAGGAGATCCTGAGACAGAAGGCAAAAGTCACATGGTTGCAATTAGATGATAATAACAATGCCTACTTCCATGCTTCTATGAGGGAGAAGAATAAGCAGAAAGGTGTATACAATATGCTTGCTTTGTATGGTGACATTCTCAATAAGCAAGAGGATATTGAAAAAGAAATTGTGGACTTCTATACTAAGCTAGTAGGCACAAAAACTGCTAATCTAAAAGGCATTGAGGTTCCTATAGTGAGAGCTGGGAAACCTTTAAATAGGGAAGATGCACATCAGCTTATAAAACCCGTGGAAGATAAGGAAATTTGGGATGCACTGAACAGTATAGGAGACAACAAGGCTCCAGGCATTGATGGTTACAATGCCTATTTCTTCAAACAAACCTGGCAGATTGTGAAATGCTATCAATGAATTTTTTAAGACCAGCTACATGTATAAAGCCATCAACCGCTCTCTGATTACTCTGATTCTCAAGACCCCAAAAGGAAATGAGGCCAATAGCTTGTTCTAGTACTATCTACAAGATCATTTCAAAGACTCTAACTTCTATACTTGGTACAGTCATTGGCAGCATTATTGAAGATACTCAGTCTGCATTTGTTCCTGGCAATATAATTCATGATAATATCATGCTTGCTCAGGAATTGGTGAGAGGATATGGCAGAAAACATTTGTCTCCCAGATGTATGATCCAGCTGGATATTCAAAAAGCATATGATACTGTGGACTGACAAGCTTTGACACACATCATGCTAGAGATTGGTATACCTCAGATGTTCATTAATTGGGTCATGTCATGTGTAACTACTGTTTCATACAGGTTTTTAATAAATGGTACTCCATCAAAATTTCTAAGAGCGAAAAGAGGGCTGATGCAGGGAGATCCCATCTCACCTCTATTGTTTGTGATTATCACAGAATACCTTCACAGAACACTCCAAAGTTTGCAATACAACCCTTATTTTAACTTCCATCCCAGCTGTGAGAAGCTAAACATCATTAACTTATTTTTTTGCCGATGATATCCTGATATTTACCAGGGGAGACATTGTATCTCTGAAGCTGATTATGGAGAAAGTTCAAAACTTCTCAGATACAACAAGTTTATGTATCAGTAGCCTTAAAAACAAGCTGTTTGTGGAGGGAGTGGATGAGGACACTATAGAAGACATTTACATCAAGAAACTGGTCTGGCAGCAGGTGTGATACCATTCAGATATCTTGGTGTGCCTTTGAATAGAAAAAAGATGACTGACCATAATTGCCAACCTCTAATTGAATGGATGCTGCAAAGAGTTAATCATTGGAGTACCAAACTGTTATCTTATGCTGGCACACTCCAACTAGTTAGGAGTGTTATATTCCCTATTTCTAACTATTGGATGCAGATCTTCCCATTGCAAAAAAAAAAATTTGTAGCACATGTTGAAGAGCTTTGTAGAAGGTTTATATGGAATGGTACAAATTAGAGTAGTTGAAAAGCACGAATTTTCTGGGATCATGTGTGTGATCCTGTATCTGCAGGTGGGAGAAACATGATATATATTTGGTTGTTTGGAGCAAAGCAACCATTGGTAAAATGGTGTGGAACATTTGGAGCAAGAAGGATATTTTGTGGATTAAATGGCTTCATACTTACTACATGAAACAGGCGGATGTAAAGGATTTCAAGCCTAGCCATAATTTCTCTTGGATTATAAAGGCTATCTTCAAGAATAAGGACATGATGACTAATTCTGAAGCTTGCCAGAAGTTCCAGACAGATGGGAGGTGCAAGACTAGTATCATGTATAGTTACTCGAGGCGTGATAAACCTAAAGTCGACTTGAGGGTCATGTTCTATGGAAACATTGCTAGACCTAGGGCGATTTTCATACATTGGATGACATGTCAAAACCGACCGATGACCAAGGGTAAGGTGATAAAGTATGGTATATCTACAGATGGTCTTTGTACATTCTGCAATATGCTTGAAAGCTGCCACCATCTCTTCTTTGAATGTGTCTATACTAAACAGGTCTGAAAGCAAGTCCTGCAGAGCTTTCATATTGATCGTGATCCTGGTGCTTGGAATGTGGAGATGTCGTGGCACATTCATGCAACCCGTGGAAAAGGTACAAAAGCGAAGTTGATCAAGAGTGTAGTCCTGAAGCAATATACCATATTTGGAGTATCAGAAACAAATGTGTGTTCCAAAATGGTAATAAAGATGCTTTGAATAGCGGAAAAATCAGAAAGATTGTGTTGTTAAGAGCTGAGAAAAATGAGAAAATACTAAATTATTGCAATAGGGCCTTGTAGTTTTATCCCAATGTCTCCTTGGATCGTTCTGCACGGCGTGTATTGAATTGTTTTTGGCAATAATATTTTTCTCTTATTTCAAATATATATATATATATATATATATATATATATATATATATATATATATATATATATATATATATATATATATATATATATATATATATATATATATATATATATATATATATATATATATATATATATATATATATATATATATATATAACAGACAATAATATCTCTAAAATTTAATGAAACTATTACTACTAAAATACCGTTATTTAGTTTAATTATTTTTGTAATTTATATAAAATTAATTTATTTGTGGTAATCTTAATTGATATTTTTTTTCAAATTAATTTATTCTGTAAAAAAATTCATTGTTATATTTGTTGAATATGTGTACGAGAAACCATATCAACGTTAGATAAGCCTTTACAGATTTTATTCTGGTCAAATTATTGCGAACTAGTGAAGAAATGCTGGATAGAATACAATGGAACGTGCGAAAGAACATAAGATAACCGAATTATATATATGAATGAAAAGTAAACGTTATGAAAAATTTATTAGTAAAATAAGAAAAAAAAAATTAGCCGAAACCTCAAAGCCTTTTTTTATTTCTTTAAAAATGATGGGGGCAATTATGAGTTCAACTAGACCGATTAAAACAAATAATAATAACAATTAAAATTAAATAGTTCAAATTGTGATATTTGGATCAAACTCTAGCGTTGAAAAGGGTATCATTATAGTTCGACAAAAGTTGTGTATGTTGTAGTCAAAGTCTGTTCGAGTATACTGTCGAAATATATTATAAATTTAAGTTAATCTGTCGAATTAGGTCTTTCTTGTAAGCTCAATTGTTTAAGTTAACTTGCTTGTGTAAATAGGCCTGTGTTTAAAAGCCCATTAAGTTAGTATGTTAGTTTTCTTATAAATAACATGCTAGTCTCTCATGTTTCTAAGGGTGACACAAATCCTAATTAGGGTGAGAGAGGTTAATTGTTGGTATTTACTTATAATCTTTGAACCCTTATTGAGAAAGTGAATAGTAAAACAGATTTAATCATTTCTCTATTATTCTTCCTTCTTCTCTTTTCCTTTGTGAAACCTAATAGGATTTTCTTGTGTTTTTTCAAGAAACTCAATCTTTTTCTCATAACTTTGTTCTGTTATGGACGACATCATTTCACAACAAACTGTCAGTTTGGTTTTGTAAGGCACTGAACTACTGCAAGGACTCCTCAACAAAATGGTTTGGTAGAAAGATTTAGTCAAACCATTCTAGAAATGGTGAGGTGCATGTTCGCAAGTGCATGATTGAAGAAGGTGTTTTGGACAGAAGATGTTGTGACTGCAGCTTACCTGATAAATAGGCATCCCTCATCTGCCTTGGGAATGAAGACACCTGAAGAGGTCTGGCCGGGACATCCACCTAGCCTCGACAGACTTAGAGTATTTGCCTGCTTAGCCTATGCTCACATTATGCAAGACAAGATCGAACCTAGAGCTCTGAAATGTATGTTCCTTGGATACCTTGAAGGAGTTAAAGCTTATAGGTCGTGGTGCCTAAAGTCAGGTCACAAGAGGTGTATCACAAGTCGAGATGTAGTTTTTGATGAAACTGAGATGACTTTCAAGAAAACTGATATCATTGGTCAAAGTTCAAAGATTTCTGAAGAAGAGCTGGAACAAGGAAAGATTCCCGTTGAGGTGGAGCATAGTGATGCTGAATTGCATGACCTAGATTAAGTCGAAGAAGAAGCAGAAGATGTTATCGAAAATGAGGAGACTGATAATGACTACCTGCTGGTAAGAGACATGTCGAGAAGAGTCATCAAGCCACCTGAGAGACTTGGTTATGCAGATCTCATAGCTCATGCCTTAATTTTTGCAAGTGAGGTCCTTGATGAAGAACCTAGAGATTATAATGAAGTTATGAGGAGTCGAGACAAGACTGAATATAGAACAACTGATATGTATAGGGAGCTTCGTGGATAAGGTACTTCTGTCACCTGAAAAAATATTTTCATTAGTAATCGTGTCAGGCCTAGATCGAGGTTCATCTTGTGGCTGGTGATGCATGGAAGATTTCCAACCAAAGACATGCTGCTAAGATTTGGAGTGCCTATCGCTGCTCGAAAAAATGCAACGACGGAGAGGCGAGAATGAAAGACAGAAGAGTAACCATCGAACTTTAATTATTCCGTAAGGGGAAGGGAAAACATTGAGAAAACCCTAAGATGAAAAACAGATAAGATGGTCTCGCGACCAAAGAACGGGTTCAGAAGCCGGTTAAGTGAAGGGAAGGCATTAGCACCCCTCGCATCCATCATACTCGATGGGAACCATTGGTTTATCTATGTGAAGGTATCTGCTAAAAGATTATTGCTATAAAGAGTGTTCCAAGGGATAAAGAGAAGGGCTAGAAACAGGGAAAAAAAAGGAAAGAGACTCGATAGGACTTCGCGGTCATAGGCCTACGTATTCTCAACAGATATGAGAAAGTCATAGTCAACGTAGTTCGGGAAACTACGGGTGATGAGGGGAAAGTGTGCTTTCTAAGACATCACCGTCTTGTGCCTACGTATCCTCATCTGGTATGAGAAATCAGAGCAAACGTAGTTCGGGTAACTACGGGAAAGGTCTCGATCGCACTGGGGCGAGAGAAAAAGTTCTGGATAACCGGTTGGTCTCGATTGCACCGAGGCAAGAGAAAAGGGAAGTTAGTTGTTAGTGTGCTTGTCAAGGATAGAGATCCTCGTGCCTACGTATCCTCATTAGGGAATGAGGAATCAGAGCAGCCGCAGTTCGACCTACGGTTAACTGGTGTTTTTGTGGAAGATGCTAATGTACGCATTCTATTAGTTAGGTGCATTGCAGCTCGCTCGTGGAGTTTTAGGCGTTACCTGTTTGCGGTAGAACGAATGTAACATATCCTTTTTGAAAAGAGAGTTTTCGCCGTCGAGGCAAGATGTCACATTTGATTTGTGGAAGTTGTTTTTTAGGGGTGAAATAGATCCTCGGATAGTAACCCCTTGCGGGTAGTACCCAACTCTTTATCTCAAAATATTTATTGTGAAATGGTGTGGCGAATATAGTCACGTCTTCGTATTGAAAGACGAATATCGAGACCACAAACCCTACAGTGAGCATCCTGAAACTCGGAGAGAAAGAAGTCTGCACTTAATTCTCTCTCTTTAGTTCAATACAGAGTGGAGTTCATTCTTTTATTAAAGATGTTTTTGATCTTGGATGGTAAGTGCTTTATGACAGTGAACCCTAAAGGTAATGTCAAGCACTCAGGGTAGGAGAAGGCCTACGCCTAACCACTCCACAACCATCCAAGTTTATTTGAAAAAGAGTTCTTTTTTGGAAAATGCACTTGGTACGAAACCAAGGTTTTAAGAGAAAAGTTATGAAAAGAATGGATGTTGAATTGGTTTAACAGTTGTTTGAGAAAATCCGCTTGACGTTGGATCAAGGGTTTGATTTATTAAAAAAGTTTAAGGTGATGCGAACAAAGTTGATGGCAATGCACAAGGCAATCGACTTATAAGGTTAAAAATGGCTCGATAAGAATCGAGAGTTTATTTTAAAAATAGTTTTTTTTGGAACCAAAAGTCAAGGATGACCGTAATAATATCCACATATAATGGCCGTACAACCACATCGGGTTAATCGGCTCAAGAAAAAAAAAAGACATGAAAAAAACAACAAAAAAAACAAATTGGAAAAAAAAAACTATGGGAAGTTCGCTGGGCGAACCTTGCAGCGAAGTTGCTCAGAAAACAACAAGAAGTTCGTTGTGTGAACTTCCCAGCGAACATGCACTATTCACAAACATAAGCAAAAAACACTGAAGTTCGCCACGCAAACCTTGCAGCGAAGCTACCCAGAAAAAACAACCAGAAGTTCGTTGTGCAAATTTCCTAGCGAACACAAACAGAGGCAAAAGGTGACAAAGTTCGTAGTGCGAAGGTTCCAGCGAACAACTCGCTGGCTAAAAACAAAGGAAAACTGTCTGTCCAGTGGCACTTTGAGCACCACAAAAACGTGTTCGCTAGGCGAAGGGGATGTTCGCAGTGCGAACATGACAGTAAAAATGAGTTGAAAAATATGTAAAGATATAAGGGTTTGAAAGGAAAGATACTCAAGAGCTATTATTTTCCTTCTAATTACCAATGACTTTTGTTGGCTGTAACACTCTCTTGTTCTCTCAATATTTTTTTTTCTCTTTTTTCAATTTCCTTTTTTTTGATTTTTTTTCAATGCCTCTTGCTCTCACCCTCCCTCTCCTTTAGTCAATGTTCTCCATCTCCTTTTAAAACTCAGCACATTAGGGTTTTCACTTGTTTCAAAACTTCAAATTTTCATTGAGAAATACCTCTTACCACTTTCTTGATGTCACTCTCCATTTTCATGAATCCTACTTTGCTGTGTTTTTTCTGCTACACTTGCCTAGGCTGTCTTTTTTCTGCTGCACTTTGTATTGCTCTCAAATCTTGAACCCATTTGTTTGCTTATGTTTGGACTGCCCTTGTGGTCCAAGTTTCTACCTTTAACAACATTTTTAAAATTCTGATATTTGATATGTAGATGCATCACCATGAGTTCATTCCCTTGGTTTTGTGACATGAATTGTTTGGTTATGAGGCAATTTGTCACTTCTTGCATGAGACTGTTTTAGATTAAAATTACCCATGATTAAGC